AATCAATCAATCAATCAATCAATCAATCAATCAAACTTTATTTATAAAGCGCTATAATATCAGCCACTGCTGAAACAAAGTGCTGAACACATAAAAATAAAAACTGAATACAAAAACACAATAAAATCACACAGTTAAATAAGTAAAATCAGCACCAATACAGTAAAAGTTGAGTAAAATCAAATCTCAGTTTTGTTTAGTAATTTTTTATGTCTATTAGCTGTACAACAAATTGCCCCTTGGGGATAATAAAGATTGTTSAACTGACTGGGAGCATAAAGGGTGCACAATAAATACAAAGAAAATAGCCAAGTTAAGTAAATCACAGTAGAAACATTACAATGTATTTTAACCCAAAAATATCCCGAATCATTTTACAGAAAATAAAAAAGATTCAATCAATAAATAGGAAGAGAGCATAATCCCCTATGCCCCTTACGCCCTGGTGTATGCCACGAGTGAAGTGTCTCAGCTTTTATTTTGAAGGCATCTTGCAAGCGTGACTACCTTTGTGCGCGTGCACAACAACCGTCCGTGCGTGAGGGGTTAGCTTGATTATAGTACAGAACATCAACAGTACAGGTTAGTACCGGATAAAAGACTCGTTTCTGTTGTGATGTTTTTGTAGTTTTTGTTTGATGACTTGTTTCAGTGTTATTTGGATTGGTTAAGTTTAAAACTTAGATTAGAAGAAGGTTTGCTAACAATGAGGTAGTTAGTTAGCAGAGGTAAAATGTCGGTTAGCATAGGTACGCCTCAGAGATCTATTAGCTAACAGTTTGACACGAGTAAATTAATTGTGAAACTGATGTAAAGAATAGTAGGCCTAATAGTATAAATGTAGTTTTGATAAAACAGCTGTCCAACTGTCCTGTAGTAATGAGTGTAGGCTAAGCTATGATAAACGGTTTGCTATTAGCATAATGATTGAATATATGAAGTTATAAAACTAGCAGTACCTTTGATACATCAGCATTTCTGTTTTATAACTTCAGTGGTTTAAGTGTATAATAATTGTAAAGTAATTTCTATTTAATTTCTGTGCTGTTTGTGAAATTCTGGTCAGTAAACGTGGTTTGTTAGGCAGCTCAGGTAGCCTGCATGTTATTCAGTCACAGTGGCCTTTTATCACTTGTGTAAAGATAAAAATGTAAATGTAATTGTAGTATTACGGCCACACAAGATTTTTAAAAAATTTATTACGAGAATAAAGTCATAATATTAGACAAAAAAGTCATGTAAAAATAGTCATGTTATGAGAATAAAGTCGTATTGTGAGATTAAAGTCATAATATTACGAGATTAAAATCGTAATACGAGATTAAAGTCACAATATTATGAGAATAAATTTGTAATATTACGAGATTAAAGTCGTAACATTACGAGAAAAAAGTCGTAATATTCTAGCCTTTACACGAAAAAGCATGTTGCATTAAAATAAGGAATGTTGAGCAACTTGTTAAGTTGTTCTTTAGTATTGTTTAAAATAAATCGATGATCTTTTAGCACATTAGCATCAAATTATCAGTAGCAGGACTTGGAAATTGTGCAAACGACTATAAACTGAAGCCGTATTGTAATTAATGGACGTATTGACAGATTTAGTCGGCATGTAGCTAATTTGGATGAAAGCGTATTAATCTAACAGTGACCCAGGTCATCGTGGACTACTTTATAAACACAGACACACACACAGCAGGTGGGAGGAAAATAAGGAGGAAATTAGGAACGGAAAATGGACACTTCATGTAAGATTACGACTTTTTTTCTTGTAATATTACAACTTTATTCTTGTACAATTATGACTTTACTCTCCTAATAAAAATTTAAAAAATCTTGTGTGGCCCTAATACTCCATCATACTAATGAACACATTTACTGCTGAAGCATTTTGTGACAAGAAAAGTAATATTCTGCTGTTACTCCACATACTCCATCAAAACGACAGTTCATCATAAACCCTACAGTATAATAAAACACTCGTGCTTGCATTGACATTACTGAGTTCCAAACATGTAGTTATTAAAACTGCTGTCTGCTCTGGTCAATCTTTTGGGTTGGTAATGTACAGAACCAAAATTAGGAAAACGTCTCTTTCCAAATAGATATGGAGCTAAATGTAGGCTGCACAAACCGCAAATTAGGTTTTAAATCTTCTGCTATTTGTCTAAAAGAATCTAGTCCAGGTTTGAAGGGTCAAAGTGTTGTTTTGAATCTGGGCCAGGGTTAGTGTGGTCCAGATGCATAAAATGTGCTCTAAGCACGCTTTATTGAAGTTTAYCAAATCTAATAAAAGTTTCACAAATTACAACTTAAATATTCTGCTACAGGTGTAGAATAATACAGTACAGGTTTGTGTTTAGYTGTTGTAGTTTTGGATCTGGTCCAGATGCAAAAGTGTTGAAAACAGCCTTTATTGAAGTTTCACAAATGGTTTTAAATGCACCATATTCTAGTCAAGGTCTGAATTGTTGCTAAAGGTAGTGAGACTGAGTTAGAATCATCCTTTAYCCATTTATCTACTCAGAAGCTAGAAACTAACCAACTTCAGCTTTGTGTCAACAAAAAGATGTACTTTGGATGAAGAACTGAAAAGCAACAACCTGTGTCATCTTGTTTATTCACCTGATCACAGGTCCATTATATTTATTACTGTAGTACCACTACTGGGACATGTAATTCAAGTATTTTATTAAATTACATGTATTGCATTTTACTACAGACCACAYAACTGTAGATGCAGTGAAGCAGATTTATGATGTTTGACAATCTTGTTCTCTGTTTTAAAATAAGGAAACGGATTTAAAGAGAAAATAGACATTTATTTTTTTCTTATTTGGGATGATTACACTAACCACATTATATCTAAAATACAGACACAAGAAAACTGCTAAAACAACAGTTACAAATATATAATATGAAGAATGTACTTTTTTTACTTTGACACAATGTTTTTTGTAATTTAATTTATGGATTTACCTACAACTTAGACAAATCTGAAGTTAAGTTTTCAGGGAGAAAACCTACATGAAGASGTGCTGTCCTAGAAATTCACACCATGTTGCAACTTTACTGAGTAACTCGAGCCTGTTGAAAATGAGGTCAGCACCTGAGAGGCCTTCTTTTTCTCTCTAGCCCCCATTCGTCAAAGAACTGTAGCATGTTCAGAGCTGGAAACAAAGGTGATCACATCCAGAACAGGAAAAAGACGAAGGAGAAACCATCATCAGCTCTCTCAGAACTAGAGGAGGAAGGGACAAATAAGATGAGCATTTTTTTGTTGTTGCTAAATCAAACTGGCTTTAGTTTCAATTAACCAATGAGAACTCTGGTCTAGTCCAAGGAAGTTAGCCTTTTTAAGATTCAGAAATTATAGAAAGTTTGCACGGAAATAAAGCTCAAAGTTTATTCTCTTTAAATTTCATACTCTATTATCCTGGAGTATAAAAGAACAGTACGTAAAATAGCTGGAACCAGTGATTAGAGCTGTATTAAACTACAAAAAGTAAATTTGATTATCATGATTTAACAAAAAAAAAACCTAAATAATGATCTATTTGTATGAAATCTAAAATTAAAATGTATAGCTTGACTTGTAATAAATTAAATATAAATTCTACAAGTCTAATGCAAGTTGTGTAAATAACGCATTCAAAACAAAAAATCTAAACAAAATGTAAATTATAATTTAAGACACATGAGTCTGTAATAAAAGCCTCGTGAACAAGAGGCATTAGAAAATGAATAGGCAGGAAGAAAAGACAAAACTGCTCAAATAGAACACACTTATATTATAAAACTATGTTATTTTCAAGAACAAATGCTGTTTCTTGCACATTAAGGACTTATAACAATTGGATTGGTTTCCAATAGAAGTTAAAAGACTTCAATAAAAACTTGAGATCTTAATGTGTTTTGGTTTGTTGGCCAGAGGATGGCATTGTAGCTCCATGTATGAACTCTTTGAAGGAAACTGGGTTAGGAGGGAACAAAAAAATGGATTGATTGGATGGATAACTTTCTTTCTGGGGATCCTGAGAAAGTCAGGACCTGTATTTTTTTCCCCATGTCCCCTTATGGGCTTCGAAGAGTACAAAACCTCATCTCAGGGCACTATATATATATACAT